CTCCCTCCCTCCCTCTCTCTCTCAAAATCAGTGGAGCCTGGCCAGCATGGCTCGGTGGTTGAGCATTGACCTATGAACTCGGAGATTGTGGTTCGATTCCTGGTCGGGGCACCACCCCAGGTTGTGGGCTCGATCCCCAGTAGGGGATGTGCAGGAAGCAGCCGATCAATGACTCTCTCATCATCGATGTTTCTATCTCTCTCTCCCTCTCCCTTCCTCTCTCTGAAATCAATAAACGAACACGTATTAAATAAATAAACAAACAAACAAATAAATATCAATGGAAAAATATCCTCAGGTGAGGATTAACAAAATAAAAGAATTCCTTTTTAACAAATCTCTTGGTGGTAAACTCATGTGGAAACGCCTTCATCACTTCTGAAAAATATTTTCAATTGGTATACAAATAAAAATGTATCTTCTCTCAGCACACTGAGGCATACTTTCTTCTACTTTCTGTTACTTTTGAATCTGCTATCAATCTGATTGTGGGTGATCTTTAATTTTTTTTTCTGGGTAGTTTATTTATTTCATTGTCTTTAGTCCCTTGTAGTTTCACTACAGTGTATCTAGGTACATGTTTTTATTTAGCCTGTGTGGAAACTTTATGCTTTCTGTATCTTTGGAGTCATGCCTTTCATTGCTTTGGAAAAATTCTGAGTCATTATATCTTCAAATATTTTTCTCTTGTCTATGCTTTCTGTTCTCTTTTTCTGGGATTACAGTTATACATGTATTAATATTCTATTCTCCATGACTCCTAATCTCTTTTTTATATTATCTGTTTCCTTGTCTCTGTGTTACAGCCTAAATAATTTCAATCTTCCAGTTTACTACATCTTTTTAAAATTTAGATGTAATTCACATATCATAAAGTCACTCAATGTGTACAGTTCACTGTTTTTAGTATATTCCACAAAGTTGTGCAACCATTGCTACAGTTCAATTCCAGAACATTTCACCACTCTACTATACTTTTTTTTGAGCTGTATCTAGTCTACTTTTTAACCCATCCCCTAAGTAGTTGATGATTTTTTTTTTTTAATATTCTCACCCAAAGATATTTCTTCCATTGCTTTTGAGAGAGAGTGAGGGAGTGGGGAGAGAGAAAGATCGATGTGAGAGAGACACATCGGATTGAGCCTGCAATTGAGGTATGTGCCCTTGACCGGAATTGAACCTGGGACCCTTCAGTCCACAGTTGGATGCTTTAACCACTGAGCCAAACTGGCTAGGGCTGAATTTTTTAATATATATTTTTACAACTAGGTTTGCAGTTGTAAAAGTCTCATTTGGTTCTTTCTGCATTCTGTTTTTTATAGCATTTTATGTTTGCATGTTTTTGTAATTTCATTTTTCTATTTTAAATATTCTGCAGTTACTTTATACTCTATAACAGACTATTCCAGTATCTGAGTCTTGGGGACCTAAATATATTGTTTATTTCCAGTGATTCTAGCTTGTCAAAGATTTAATTCCTTTTGTGTGTGTAGTGATCTTTGTTTCTAACATATTTTGTTAATCTAGGAAAATTTTTAGGGCCAAAATTGAGGATGTTTTCTGAGAGGTGGTTTTTTTTCTTCTTTTTTAAATCCTCACCCGAGGATATGTTTTTACTGGTTTTAGAGAGAGAGGAAGGGAGAGGGAGAGAGAGAAGAAACATCTGTGTGAGAAGCATCGATCAGTTGCCTCCCATATACACCCCAACCTGGGAATTGAACCTGTGACCTTTTGGTGTACAAGACGATGCTCCAACCAACTGAGCCACACCGGCCAGGGCTCTGAGAGTATTTTTTATTCCCTCTGCGAAGACTCAGCAATCCTGGGACCTCTCCAGCCCACTTTTAGGTTCTTTTTCCTCATTACATGAGGCTTCTCAGGTTTAGCTCCCCTACCTTACTCAAACCTCCAAGCTCCAGTGTCACCTATATGTCCTAAGTAGAGCCCTTGCTTGTCATAGCTCTGATTTTAGTTTCAGGTCATAGTTGATTTTTTTGTTTTTTTTTCTCCCATTGCCCTTCTCGTTGATTTACTTTTCTTTCTATGGTTCCTTCAATGCAATAAAAATTATGTTTGATACATCCTATTGGTTGGGGTTTTTTAAGCCAGGGGTAAGATTAGGGGATGCCACAGTATCTAGTTCACCGTAGTGCTAAAAGGGAAAGTATTAATTAAACTCTTTAGAATGTTTGTTCATTTGAAGACAACTGTTAGTACAATAACACACAAACTACCCCACCAAATTGCCACTTATGTTTCATCCAGCTTTACTTATACCACTAAGTTTTATGAAAAGCCCTTTTTTCTCTTTTCAGATAAGACTACTTCTCTACAACATTCATTTAAAATTCTACCAAGTTCATTTTTTGTTTGTATTTTGTGGTTCTTACAGGATTATGTTGACAAAGAGAAGGCAATTGCCAAAGCGTTGGAAGACCTCAGAGCCAACTTTTACTGTGAACTCTGTGATAAGCAGTATCAGAAACATCAGGAATTTGACAACCATATCAATTCCTATGATCATGCACACAAGCAGGTGAGGAATAGTTATTTGCTAACAAAGAAAAAGTTACTTTATTTGTTGTTATAACTTGAATTTTGAGTGGATCCAAAAAACTTGGAGAATATGGTTTCTTATATCTGCTGGTCTTTATATGAAGTCATCTGACTTGATTTTTTTTTCAGTGACAGAAGTCCTGATATAGACCTCCCCCTTCCACCATTTTATGTAGAGTGAAGATTGTGAGCTTCATAAATCTTGCATAAAATTTTTGGTTTGAGTGGTTTCTAAATTTGTATTTGATTTGATAATTCAACTGAGGATCACTAGGAGCTTTTTCTTCCTTTTCCTTTATGACCATGTTAAACTTTGAACACTTATCCCAGACTGGTCATTTCTTCTTCTGTATAGAAGAGTTCTTGCTTTATTAGTTGCTCTTTCCTATCAGTAAGTCATTTTATTATACCCTTGGAAGGTAGATAAATCTTGAGAAGGAAAATAAAATTAGATGCTATCTTAACTTTTAACAAAAAAAACTCTGATACTACACATTAAAAAGCTTGCTGAAAATTGAATTACACTTTCTTTACAATTTTTTTAATTGATTTAGGGAGAAAAAAAAGTACCTAGCTAGTTACTGGCATAAAGAAGGCAGCAATAATTTCCCCAAAGGATTTTAGAAGGAGGAAATTAATCTTTATATCTACAGCACAGTTCTGGCTTATTAAAGAATTTTGAGCCATTTGATCTTGGGTGACTTAGCAGAACTTCTTCTGTCTTTGGGGCTGCACATAGTTGTATTTGTTAAACTTGTAAGATTTATGGGCATTACTAGACTGCTCTCTTAAGCTGAACCTGTTAAATCAACATTTTTTTTAACCTTTGCTTTATTTTTCAACCAACCAAAGATTTCAGAGCACAGGTAAAAGGCAGGCTTTGACCAAGCTTTACTGTTACTGCCACAGGGATACTTTTCAAGCTGGTTGTGGTATTATACTTTATGCAACAATCTCTTCCACATTTAACCACACCTAACCAATTTAAGATTCTTTCACTGATAGAGTTTTATTTAAGGCAGATTTTCAACATTTTATACACCTTTGGACATTATTTTAATATATTGTCAGCTCTGCCTTGATTTGAAGAAGAGAAATTGAGAGAGCATAACAGGGTGTGGCAAAAGTAGGTTTACCGTTGTGTGCGAACAGAGTTTATTATATTACTATTTATTATTGTATTATTTCCCATACGAACAGCTGTCAACCTGTTTTTGCCCCATCCTGTATATGGACAACATATTGGCAATTATCTTACTCCTTCAAAGAATGATCTGCCAAGAAAGAAGAATGCAACAGTGAATAATGCTTATTCAGGAACTTTTGCGGCTTTTCAGTGTATATATAATGCAGACTGTTTTACATCTAAATACATATTTACCTTTTGAGGCTCTTAAGAATTTCTTCAATTGAGCACTCTCTGTGATTAAAAAGACTCCAGAGGAAACTTTAGGGCCCAAAAGGACATTTAGAAAAGTTACATTTTTAGTTGATTAGAAGTCTCTTGAGTAAAGTTTTAATTAGAAAAGAATAAACCAGGAAAAGTGTATTTCAAATTTAAATACTATGTACTTGCTTTTTAAGGGGGAAAATCTAGCAAAGCAAAACAGATACACAATTAAATATAGAACTAATAAAATTCACGTTGACAACGTTAATGTGATGGATGATAATGTTTTAGTGATGTTTCTCTCAACTTGAGAGTAGAAATTGTTACAGCTCTGGTTCATTTGAATTTGACATGTTTATTCTCCTATGCACTTTGGTTTGACTCAGTTCTCTCACCACTTTTCCTATTGCAGTGGTTTTCCACCTGGGGAGATTTTGTCCCCCAGGGGATACTTGGCAATGTCTGAAGACATTTTTTATTATCACAACTAGGGAGATAGGGCTACTGACATCTAGTGGGTGGAGGCCAAGGATGCTGCTAAACATCTTACAATGCACAAGAAAGTTCCTTGCAACCAAGAATTACCTGGCCCAAAATGTCAGTCAGTAGTGTTGACAAGTTGAGAAACCCTGTTCTATTAGGATAACTTAAAACATTCAAATATATATATGGTATTGTGATATCATTTGGCCTTTGCTTGGTACAAACAAATCACTATCATTTTAACTCCCCAGTTGTCAACATTTATAAAGTGCTCATCTCAAATATTCATGTATTACTCTTTTTTAGATTATCATCAAAATGAAAATGCAAAATTAAGGATTTCTTATAGAGTATTAATGGACTTCCTTATCCATTAATACAGAATATACCTATGATCTCTGGTCTGGGGAAAAAATCTTTAGCTGGTATTATTAATGTGAATGCATGTTAGCTTATTTTTCCAATTTGATCAAAAGCCCATCTTAGGTATTAAAAAAAGAACAGATGTAGTATGATTTTGTGATTTTGTTTATTTTTGGTGGCTTTTTTTTTTTTTTTTTAATATATCTTTATTGATTTCAGAGAGAGGAAAGAAAAGGGAGAGAGAGACAGAAACAGTGATGAGACAGTCATTGATGGGCTGCCTCCTGCACACCCCCGACTGGGGATTGAGCCCACAGCCGGGGCATGTGCCCCTACCAGGAATCAAACCCCAATCACGTGGATCCTAGGTTGACACTCAATGGTTGAGCCACACCCAGCCGGGCGGTGGCATATTTTGAATTTGGTTGAAATGTAGGCTTTTTTGTCTTTCTTTATACTGCTCTCACTGGAAATGGTAGAATCTTGAAACAGAATACTATAAATATATAAACAGAAAAGTGCACAGCACTAAATTTTTGTGTAGTTACACTCTTCCCTGCACTTAGAATTTCTAAGGAGCCTTTAATTGACCATGATCCAACACAGCAAAATAACCTCTAAGAGGAGGTAGGTCCTATTTTTTATTCCTCTTTGATGGACATGAACTTACCATACAAATGGACCTACCATTTTCCAAATTTATGCTTTAAAATCATAAAGACACCCTGTCTTGTCTTCCAGGAAGGCACACAGGATTATTATGAATCTGAGATAATAGGTAAGTACATTCAATCCTATGTTAGTAATCCCTAGTTTGCATCCTCCATCAAATTTTCACCATTAAAATTTTTAGTGTAGGCAGGATTCTGAACATGTCCTTATCTTCATTAAACACAAATAATCTCTCAAAAAGGGGCTACAGAGTCACCCTCATTTGGGGTGTTTTTTGTTTTGTTTTGCCTCACTATTCACTAGTTTTTCCTCAAATTTTCTAAGATATTTTGTGAAGCAAACCATTAATACACAAATATCAAGACCCAGCTTGATCTTCAAAGATGAACAAGCTAATTGGACATTTTGGCTCTTTTTGGTAGTTTGACCCTCATTTTTAAAGGAATCATTTCAATACACTTTAAAATCTTCAAGGATATGCCTTTCCATTCCTCAAGAGATAACCCAGTGATGCCTTTTTATAGTGTCAGTTGGTTCTGATATGCCTGAGTGCTCAGTAATCATTAGTAGCTATCTTCTACCTTGTTGACTTAGTTATGTGAAAGTTGACTTTGAAACAAAACAGTTTTCCATCTCTTCCTCCCTGCCTCTTTAATTATTTTGCGTATCTTTTTAAAAAACATGGCTGATAATTGATATGGCTGTGGGAACCATTTTCTTTAGTTTTTCGGAGGGTCTAAATTTTGAACTCCAAAGACATTTTTTCCCAAAGGTAAATTTATAGCAGCACAATAACAGTCAGTACCTTATTTTTGTTGTTGTTTTGCTTTCTTGGTGCCTTGTTACCCACTCAGGACCTACTCAGGGTTTTTTCAATCTTACTCTCTTTTATTGGTGCCACTAAAAGTCTCCTCACTGGCCTCTAGAACATAAACCAGAGACCACAAGTTGTCCCACAGATGTATTTTGTCTGGCCTTTGTAGTGGTAGTTTTTTCCCCTTTAATTTCAGTTCCTTCCCAGTTTTTAAAAATGAGACTTCATATAGTTCACACTTTGGCTTATCTTAAAAAATTAAAATATCTGTGAACATTACTTATATATTTCAACATAACAGTTAGCTAAAGCTGAATAGTTGCTCTCTCTTCAGAAAGGCATGCATATGCACTAACTCTCCAATTAGCTCTGATCCACTTCATCTTTTCTCTCCCATCAACCAGTGTGACTCATATTACCTGCCAAACTCCTCTAAACGTTTGAGTTTGTGACCCAGCTTTATCTTTCCCTTCTCTCAACACAGGCCCCCACAGGTTCTAATTAACACTGGGGAAGTAGCACATTGAAAAGCTGCCTTAGCGTTAAGTCCAGCTTCCTTCAATTTCAAAACCATCTGTGGTAGTCTCCTCCAGTTATCAAAATTGGTACAAAGCAGCCTTGAGAAACTCCTTTAGCTTGTGGAATCAATACCTTGGTCAGAGGAAAGTGCTTTCAGACTGCCTTTCCTTTCTGCTAAAATAACTTCAGTGTGAAAACCCCTATAATTCTTTACATTTTTTGAAAAGTCTGAAGTCACATTTAATACCAGGGTCTGTTCTCAGTTTTTCTCATTACTCAAAAATGAAGTAAGTTCTGACTTTAAATATATTCTGAGAAATTCCATGGTGATTACAGAAGGAACGATCACTTATGGATTTCATTCAGCTTTGGAGTGGTCACTTTTTACTTGAAGTTTCATTGTTTCTGATTGGATTTTCCCCCCTCAAGATATGTTTGCATTTGATCCTCTGTGTGTTTGGTACATACGGCATCAGGAACAATAAGCACATCAAAACCAACTGGACCTCTGGCGAGCCACTACAGATTTAAAGAAGTGCAGACAGGGTTCCTTTTTCAATGCTACTTTAATATTCATTTGGGGGGAGGGGCGCACACAGAAATAAATAAATTAACTCAGGCAAGAGAAGATAATTTTAAGGCTAAAATAAAAAGAAAATGACCCTTCTAAAAAGAGAAACCACGAAGATTATGTACCAATGAAGATATTTCATAGGTACTCTATGTTTTGGGTCTTTAT